GCACCATGGGCCCCCGGCGACTCCCGCTCGCGCTCTGCCTGGGACTTTGCGTGCTCGCGGCGGCTTCGGGGAGCTCGGGCGTCCGCAGGCGAGGCCCTTCGGTGACAGCCAAGGTGACAGGGCAGCGGCGCCCCTCCGCGGGCGGGCGGGGGGCTCTGCCTCTCCAGGGCGGGTCCGCGTGTCCAGCCCGGGCCCCGCAGCCGGCGGGCCTCGCTCCGGGAAGGGCGGCCCGGGAGCCTCCTACCGCGCGGCCTGGACCCGGGGGCGACGGGAAGGGCGCCGGGCGTAGGCTGCAGGAGCGGGCTGGGCGCAGTCCTGCCTGCCTGTCCGGGCCTTTCCGGGAAGGGGCGCCTTCACACCGGGGTTCTCCCGCCCGGGTGTGTGGCCGTGCTGGGCCGGCCAGGGCAGCGCCTGTGTAAGGTGCTCTTGGGACAGTTGGGGGGCGGCGTCTGCCGGCGCGGGTCCTTACACCTCGGGTGCTAGGCCACTTAGTTCTCTTTTGAGCTGATATTACCCAGGATTAAAAGGTAACAGGGACGACGTGCAGAGGGAATATTGCCCTGCAGATCGTTCTAGGAAGCTTGGCATCTGGGAGGAGGGGCAGCTGGAAGTGGTCCTAATAATTGGTCAGGGCTTGCCAGAGGAAATGATACCTCTGAACTAGCAGAATACGTGGGTTCTCTAAGGCAGACCCACCCAAGGCGTGGGGAGGACCATGGCGAGGTTTGGAGAGGGAGGTCCAGCCCGACCATATACAGCCAAGGGACAGGAGAGACCCGCCAGGGCGCAGGCTGGGTGATGAACTCAGGCTGTTTCAGGGAGCACGGATTCCACTCAGTAGGCCCTTCTTTAGGAGTTCCAGCTTTGGAAATCAGCTTGTGCAAGGCCACAGAGCTGAGCAAGGTACTCTTTAAGGTCTTTGGATAAAGTCATAAACATAAACGAGAAATTTATATTACTATGAGATATTGAAGGATATGAACTTAATACAGATGGGTGACATTTTGAAACACCTGGTGAATGAGGACAAAAGCTTAGTTGGCAAAGGGCATTGCACGTGGAGAGGTCTCCAGGCGGAGAGCCATCAGTAGGGTGGTGTAACTGAGGACTGGCCTGAGAGCCGTGGCTGGGTGCACAGAGGTGAGCAGCCAAGATTGCCCAGGTCTCAGAGGCCACAGTGAGGGTGTGAGCATCGAGGCAGTTGTTATTAGAATTTGAGATCTTATTCTAGGTGCAGTTAGAGCCGATGATGGGCTTTGAGAATAATGTAATCTATGATACACTTTAGAGAATGATTGTGGTCACTGAGGTCATTTGGGGATGCATGTCCGGTCCAGAGGATTGCTTGGATCAGGGTGGTAACTTTGGGAATGCAGAGTAAAGGAGGAACTTGAAGTGGATTTTGGAGATACAACAGAAACTGCTGTTTAGGTGGAGTCAGAGAGAGGGAGAATTGCAGTATAAAATACAGAATGCCCAATTACTGTGGGTGTAAATTTCAGATTAATAACGAATAATCTTTACAGTACATCCCTGTTATGTTAGGGAACACGTTCCACCTGGGAAGAGAAACTTACTGATGCAGGACCCACACGAAGCAAGTCAGTCACCATCTTCGGGGGTGGGTGGGGCCAATGCTTACCTTTTAACAGCAGTCTAGTGATTCTGAGGAGAAGCCAGCCTGAAGCCACCGGAGGAACCAAGAATGGGGCAAAGTAGGGACATCCTGTGCCCAGGTCTAGGTGTGACAGTGAGGGATCTATTCATGGCATGGTCACTTAACATATCTCCTTTTACTTTTTCCATCACGTTTATCAAGATCTGAAGACTAATTGTATAGGCAAGCCTTCTGTAGATTCAACTGTTAGATTACTTTCAATGAAGGTTTTGAAGCAACTAAATATACTGGAAAACGAAGACATTAAAAATTATGGGCCGGGGATTTAGCTCAGTGGTGCTGTGCCTGCCCCACAAGTGCAAGGTGCCGAGTTTGATCCCTGGTACTAAAAAAAAAAAAAAAGATTTCTCTGAGTGCAGAAAAGTAGATTATTTGATCATTGTTCTAGTATATTGTTCCCCAGCAGTCTTTTCCTTTACTTCTAATTTTGTTTACATATAGGAATCTGTACATAAGAGGCATGAGGTGCTGTTCTCACCGTGGGACCCGTTAGTGGTGCTCACCTAACCCACCCACAGACCGCGCTGACAGGCCAGACTTGCAGCTCCCTGTCCAAGTGCCAGTGCTTTTGGAAGCCCAGCTGAGCCCCACAGATAATCACCCACCTTCCCATGACACTGTACACGACTTGTCTTATAAAGCCTGGCTTCTTGTCACGCACGTTACAGCATCTGGTGTGTTTTTCCGCTGGGCTGCAGGCTCTGTGAGGGTAGGTGCTCTGTCACCCACCTGTCCAACTTGGCCTTCTCAGGGGTGCTCAGCAAGTTCAGGGATGGGTCTGGTGTCTAGTTTGCCATGCAGCCCCACCTACTATTTAGGGGGTGCGCCCTGGCCCTCACGTAGTATCACTTGACTATGAACCATTTGACATTTTCCACTGTCTGTCTGTTCTGACATTGTGCTGGGATGCGGGGAGCAGAAGACACTGTCTTTCCTTTAGGGGTTCCCCGTCTGCGCTGGAGAGCTATGTAATAAGTCACAGTTTAAATTAGCCTTGCATTGAAATTCTGACTCACACTCATGGTTGGGATGCCTTGTCAACCATTTACCCTCCCTCACCCCTCCTTTTCTCACTTGTAGATTAGTGATGATAGTTGCTGGTCCTCCCCCCACCTACAAGTGGTGAGGATTGTTATAGAAGATGGCCTAGGGAAAGCACATGAGACACCACATGAGTGACATCTTTCTTCCCCCTTCCTCCCCAGCTAGTTCCTCCCTTTATTTAAATGCCTCTCCTTGCTCCCCTCCTTACAGTTTCCCAGCCTCCTCCAGGCAGCCCAACATAATCTCAGTCCCTGCATCTGGGTGAGAGCCTCCTATTCTCTTTCTCCTTCTCAATACCATTTGGCCTCTTTTCTCTCCTTCCCTCTTTTGAGTGACAGAACTTGAGTCTCAGAGGCTGACATTTCTTTGCTTTCTGGAACTACTCAGCAGCTCCTTTCCCAGCACCCCACATCCAGCTGTGGCCACAGGGCCATGCAGACCACATTCCTGCCAGTACTTTGGTCCAGGAAGAGCTGCCAGGTGGGACCTGTGCCACCCTGGCCCTTGGAGACTGCCCCATTCCTTCCAGGCCTGCTGCCCATCAGAGCTTCTCTGGGATGCCTCCCCTGGCCTGTGGCATTGCTCCTGCACTGGCTACCCTGGGTCCTACGGCATCTGTCACATGCTGGCTTATACCATGGTTCTGGGTTTGCTTACTTCCCTGTCTTTTACTTTAGGGCATCTCAGAACTGGGATTCTCTTGCACAGCTTTTGCCCTCACATTGCCTTTCGGAGAGATCTGTAATAAATAACTGCTTGACTAAATAAGATTTTTCTCATTTCCATTGAGAGTTGAGCCAACTCTGTTATGTCTCTATTCTCTCTGCTGTCCTCATGAAGGGGCACTGCAGTTTGGGAGGTCATATTGCTAGGCATGCTTCATATATGTGTCAATAGGATTTTTATTCCAGAACTATGCAGGGGGACAGGCACTTTTCCCCCATTTTTTCATGCTGCTCTCTCCCAAGTTTTATTCTTTTTTGCTTTCTAGATATTCACAGACATAACTCTCTCCTTTATTTAAAAATTCTGGAAAGCCCTTTTAAGTGTCTGTGGGGTCTGATTCTCGTCCTGGTGCTACGTTGTTACTGTCCACCCTGCCTCTGCACATGGCTTGGAAACCCTGAGAAACTGCTGCTCAGCTCCATGTGTTAAAGCAGTGTCTTGGCTCTAAGTTACTCTGTTCTCTTCCCTGCAGCGCCTCCCCTTGAGAGCAGGGACATTCATGCATTCTGTAAAGCTCTTCTGTATAAATAATAATAAAACTTTTGCTGCCTTGGCCATGTAAAAACTGTGAAATGCCACACGGAACACTAAATATCACATCACCCTATGACAGACGTACTGATGTATTGGCAGAAACCCTTATCTTGAACTAAAGCTTGACAGTCTTTACTTAGTGATTTTTCTAAACTGCAAGACATCTTTTTTCTTTGACAACCCTTCTTATATTTTTAAAGCCATCTCTTGAATGTCTTTTTTTACCTATTCATACAGTAAATTGGTTTGTTCATATAATCTAAACTCACTAATAGAATGCCCTTTGACTCCATGGCCTTTTCAGGCCTCTGTCTGAGAATCATCTTAACTCAGTGATTTCTGAAGCAAAGTGTATAAATTCATTTCAGATGAAAGTTTTTTTAAAAAGTTGAAGAGAACTTTTAAGGTTTAGTCTGCAAAAAAGTGACTTATACTTATTTCTGGATGTTTTCTTTCTTTGGTTGTAAGACTAACGTCTTACAGAGAAAGAACAGTCTGCTTATGGGACTGGGCCATGACACCAGAATGCAGTGTCTGAGTCTGCAGGGTAAATGGCTTTGTCAGGCCCTGAGCAGTGTCTGCTGTCTGTTCGATGAGACTGGGACTGGTGCTTTACTGTGCAGGGTGTGAGAAGCCAGCTTCTGAAGGATTTTATGTGTTCTCGTTGTCTTTCACAGTCCCCATGACAGCAGACAGCTATTGAGAACTCACTGGGAGTTTAGCAGTGTTTGAAATGACAAAAAATAAATCTGGATGGTTAGCCTTTCACTCCTCACCATTTATTCCCCTCATGCCAAGACTAGAAAGCATTACCTTTTAAAAGAACATTTGCCACTCTAGTCTTCATCCACAGAGCCAGGAAACAGGAGGCAGCAGAAGTGTTTGCCTAGGGTGTGGGGGAGAACAGAATTCCTGAAGACTTTCTATTGGCTGACCCTCATGGTATGGAATCAAGCTTTAAGCTCAGTACCAAGAACAGCACCTGGCTCATGGGGGGTGTTCAGTAAATGTTTGTTGAGTGACTATTTGTGAGTGAACCACACCCACATGGGTGTTTTAACTGATACCCTGCTCATCAAGGGGCAGTCTTCCCTTTGTGGATCGCTTCACAGATTTTAACTTTGACCTGTATTGTGCTTTTGTCTTCTCTACATTATAACCTTTTTCTCTGTTTCACCTACCAACAGGTCTTCTTTGATGTGAAGATCGGAGAGAAGGATGTGGGCAGAATTGTGATTGGTCTCTTTGGAAAAGTTGTACCCAGGACTGTGGAAAATTTTGTTGCTCTGGCAACAGGAGAGGTCTGAGTTTTATTTCTTTTAGCTGTGCATGAAATTATGTCCTTTTTCAAAGTCAAATAGAAAGATGTCTTCTACGAAAATAAGTATGAAATCATTATATCACTTGAACCTGTGACATCTTATCATATTTTACTTTATTTTCCTATAAAATCTTACTATTCAGGTACTCAGTGCCCTTAGGCTTCCAGAAATTGGGGAGAAACAATCAAGTGAAAATTCAGATTACTCTTTTTTCATTCAAACTAATACTTTATTTCCATAGTTTATTGTTTGGTCACCTAATGATAAGTTTCTCTCAGTAAATCATTGCTGGGACCTAATCAGTTCTATAGATACTTTAATTTTCTCATTTGCAGACAAACACTGAGGTTTATCTTTCAGTATGGTTAATTCCTACTTGTGTATTCAATTGAAATTACCTCTTTAGAAAGGCTATGGATACAAAGGAAGCACCTTCCATCGTGTCATCAAGGATTTCATGATTCAAGGAGGGGACTTTACTGCTGGAGACGGCACTGGCGGTAACATCTTCTTTGCCTTTCTCTTCCCTCACTTTCCAAGTGAAACCTAAGATTAAGCCATTATATTTCCCCAAAATACTGAAATTCCAGATTTAAGGAAAAATCTATAAAGACGACTAATTCTTCAAGAGGTATAGCATTTTGAGGGCTTCGTCTACCAGAATCTTAGTAGAAATGAATGCGTGAGGCTTCCTAATATTAAATAGGAGTGGTTTGGCATTCATTGCTTTCTCATAGTGGAGATGTGTTCATTTGGCAGCCTCTTTCACAGTTGTTAAAAATACTGGACTGCTAGTTTGTAGCAGTATAGAACAATGTCTGCCATAGGAAGGACAAGGTAAAAGCCTGGTGCCCTTGAGGTGGTTGCTAGCAGCACATGTGGTGTGGTGGAGAAGGACAAGCTGGCATCTGAGTGGCAAGATGGCAATGATACCACCCCTCCTTCCAAAAGCTTTTCCTTTTGTCAGTTTCTTTCTTTTTTGGTGCTAGGCATTGAACTAGGGCCTCACACATGCTAGGCTAGCACTCCGTCTTTGAGCTACACTCCCAGCCCTTTCTAAAATTTTGTACAAGGTCTCAATAAGTTGCTCTGGCTGATTGCAAACTTGTGAACCTCCTGCATTAGCCTCCACAGTAGCTGGGATTACAGGCAGGTGCCACCACACCTGGCACTGTCACCTTTTTTAATAATAAATTTAAGTCATAGCTGAGTAATGAATATAAGTCTTTAAAACAAAGTAAAAGTTCAATAAAGGACAAATACTTTTAAATTTCTAGAGTTTCAAATCCCTTTCAGTTTATTGTTTCTCATGGAGGATTACAGCTACCCAGTTCCATGGACTACTTTCCCGCTGAAATGTAGTGAGAGTTCTTTGCCTGAACACACACTATATGTTTAACTACATGGAATGTAAGTTTAATTCGCATTTAGGATTTAAATAATGCATTTGGTTTTTCTTTTCTTTCTTTTTTTGTACTAGGAATTGAACTCAGGGCCTCACGTGTGCCAGGCAGGTGCTGCACCACTGAGCTACATTCCCAGGCCTTTTTTGCTTTTTTGGGGGGTGGATATTAGTTGCTAACCTCTTACAGAAACAGGCCATTTTGGGGCAGCATTTCTCCTTTTATGTTTATTGCAATGTTTTATTTATTTAAAGCAAAAATAGCTACCATTCAGTTTTTTAGGTTGCCTGGTACTTTGTGAAGATTACTTTTAGTTCTTGCAAAATAGCTACATGGTATGGGGGTAGAAAGGGGCAGAGAAACTTGTTCAGGTTCCTCCGGTAATCACGTCAGCACTGGCTCTCACAGGGAGACCCTGATGCTCTGGCGCCGTCCCATGGTACTGGTGCGTCCTTCCTACCACAGGGTCTCAGGAATGGTCTACCTTGCCCTCTTTTCCATTCTGTCCTCTCTCTTCCTTGGCTGCCCAGTGTTCGTATGAGCCTTGGATTAAAATTCTCTGAGCTTTGGAGAGGAAATTGTGAACTGTTTCTGTTTAGCCTTAGAGCCTTCTGTGAGGAGTTCCTGCTAGGGTACCTGCATGTCCTTCACCAGTCAGTTCTGAGTTGCTAGGTTCTGATAGCCACTTCTGGTCCTATAACCGAGCCAGAATTTTGAAGTTGGCAACCAACAGATGGATCAGAACCTGGCGGAAGGGGTGATGGGCAGGACAGGCCCTGCAGGTGTTGGAGATGGGCAGATGCTTCTTACGGACCACAATTCTTCTGGAGAAGGGGCTTCTGCTATACCTGCTGCTTTGCTAGGAGTCTATACCACATGTTCTTCTGTGCAAGTTGATCCCTGGGCACTCCCAATTTCGGTTATCTTCTGTGCCCTTCTGGGCTGGGGAGTTGCTGTGCTTAACTTTATAACTGTTCCCCCAGGGTAAAATAGAACTGAGAATACTGATTCTGTAGGGTTATTGTAGGAATGAAAAGCTGAGGGCATATATTCAGTGCTTGGTGTGCCCTGGTTTGGTGCTAAAGTGAGAGTGACCCCGGACAGGTGACCTGAATGTAGGACAAAGAGCCACTAGCATGGCTCAGTACCTTTCTATCTGGCTTTGGAGCACCCTCCTACCCTTCTACTCCTCCTTTCAGAGGAGAAGTCACTGACTTGCTCTGTCAAGGTTTGGCCCTTTGTTTCAGGTCTTGGTGCCCTGCTTCCTTACAAAGTTAATTTTATCCCCTTCTTCTCATGTTTGACCATCTTTTCCACCTTCCCACCTCCTATAGGCTTCTAGTAACTGATTACACTAAAGCCTTGTGTTTCCTTTCAACAGTTACTTTCATTAAACATCTGTTCACTTTCTTCCTTCTTGTTTTCTCACTCAGGCGTGAGCATCTATGGTGAGACGTTTCCTGATGAGAACTTCAAGCTGAAGCACTACGGCATTGGGTGGGTCAGCATGGCCAATGCTGGGCCCGACACCAATGGCTCCCAGTTCTTCATTACCTTGACCAAGCCTACCTGGTTGGATGGCAAACATGTGGTATTTGGGAAAGTCCTCGATGGGATGGTAACTTGATGTATTTTCTTTTTCAAAGCTTTATGTTTGTGAAAGTACCTTCAGTTGATTCATTTAAATTTTTTTTTGGTACCAGAGATCAAACTTGGGTCCTTGCGCTTGTGAGGCAGGTGCCAGAACCACTGAGCTAAATCCCTGGTGATTCATTTACATTTTAAAATGGGTTGTTAGAGATCCATTATTATATGGTGACTGGCCTCTTCAAAGATGAATAAATTATGTATGGCATGGCATTTTAATTGTTAGGGGCATTAAAGCAGAAGCCAGGGACTTAACATGGAGAAGTTAAGTAATTTATTTTACTACTGGCTATAAATGGAAAGCCCTGTCTAATGGAACCAAATAAAATCATGGCTCCATATATAAAAGCAATGGAATATTACTCAGCATTAAAAAGGAAAGACATTCTGACACATGCTAAAACACAGAGAAGCCTTGAAGATCCTGTCCTAGGTGAAATAAGACAGTCACAAGAAGACAAAGCCTATGAGTCCAGTATCTAGTCAGATTCATAGAGAGAAGAAAGTAGAAGACTGGTTGTCAGGGGCTGGTGGGGGTAGATATTTAATGGATACAGTTTCAGTTTTACAAGATGAAAAATTCTGGAGATGGGTTGCACAACAGTGTAAATACACTTAACACTACTGAGTTGTGCACATAAAATAGATGAGATGGGAAATTTTATGTCATGTGTTTCTTACCACAATTAAAAATAAAATATTAAACCCTGAGCCTGTGTGGTTCAATCCAGGCACCAGGTCGCATTCAAAAACACGCACTATAGCAACCAACAATTACTAAGAGAATCTGAATCTGTGCTGTTACTCCTCAAAGAATAACAAAGGTATCTATGCATAACCCATAGTAGTACTTCTACAGCTCTCTCTCTCTCTCTCTCTCTCTCTCTCTCTCTCTCTCTCTCTCAGCAGCTGCCCATAGCAGCTCTCTCAACTCTGAAACTGGCCACCGTAAAGTCTGCCTAGCCCAACCCTTGGCTATCCTTGCCTCTCTTGACCTCTTCTACATTTTGTTTTGTTTGCATGGGAGTTGTTTTGACCCCCAACCTAAACATAATTGAGCCAGTCTTATTCATGGCAGTTCTTCCATATCTTCTACCTGCTACTTTGATTCTACTCAACCAAAGTCCAGGAATTGAGCTGGAGACTCACTGTTTGGAAAGCCCATTTTTCTCAGTCTGTGACATCCTCCCTCCGTGCAGAGCCAAAGTGGCACATTGGCTTGTGAAGCCTTCCCAGCAGAGGAGGCCCTTCCACCACTGTGGTGTTGGGGTATAGGATTCAACCTGCAGAGTAATAGCTTGGGAAACCTTTAAAATGGGCAAACCAGGAACTAGGTCAACTTTTAAATCTGCTTTCTTGCCCATTTTATTAGACCTAGACCTAGAATAGGGTGGAGCTGAAACTGACCAACTCCATGTTAATCTTATATTGGGCTGTGGCAGTTGATTAGAAATGCTTTTTTTTTTTGGTACCAGGGATCGAACTCGGGTCCTTGTGGTTGCACAGCAAGCGGTGAAACCACTGAGCTAAATTCCCGGCCGAAAAATGCTTTTTTCATTGTATAGATACATGCTTACAAAATAGCTAACTATTTTAGAATATCAAATGTTTGCTTTAAAAGTGAGGAAATATACTAATATATTCTTTGACAAACAAGGTGGTTTTTCTGTTGTCTATCATCTATCTATTATCTAAACATTCGAGTTCTGTACACTTAGCTTGTATGGTTTTTGTAATGATAAACTTTCTTTCCCCTTGGGCTTCCAGAGTGGATATATGGCCCCCTGGGCTGCTGCAGCTGCCCGTGAGAACTGAGCACTCCTCTGCCCTCTCTCCCCAGACTGTGGTACACAGCATAGAGCTCCAAGCAACCGATGGGCACGATCGGCCGCTCACCAACTGCTCCATCGTCAACAGCGGCAAGATAGATGTGAAAACACCCTTTGTGGTGGAGGTTGCTGACTGGTGACACAGCTGGAAACCAGAAGCACGGTCCGCAGGGTCTTGTCCATGTATGTCTTTGTATGTGTGTGGGGGTGTAGGGCACACATGTGCCTGCCTGCCTGTCTTTTAATTCTTCAGTTACTTTTTTTTAGCTTTCTTTTAATTTATCATCAAGTTCACAAGAGATTTAAAAATCTACTGCTCAAAATTTAGTTTGCATGAATTTTGGTAAATTGCCTGTTTAGGGACTTTGGACTGAAAAAAGACATATCCCTTCTACCATTGGTGCTATTTTTAAATTAGAAAATTTTGTACTGACTACTTACTTTTAAGAACACGATCATTTATTTGTTTTTGCTAAGTTTGTTGTTATTCCATGTGGGGTAATGCTAAAGATTTTTTTTTAAAGATTAGGACATGAAGTTTATTGTTTTGTATTCAAACAGTTCTTTTCAGGTAAAAGGAGATTGGATTTGTTTAATCTGATGTATGTCATAGATATTTTTCCTGATAAAAGGTACTTTGATCCTCTCTACAATAAATACTTTTTAAGTGAAGCAGCTCTTTTTGTAAGACTTTAAAGATCTTCAAAAATATACAAGATTAAATACACTCTAATGATAACAATGAACAGATCAGAGAAAGTTCTACAAATCAAAATACTAACTCAGCTGGACAATTTGGGATGGGAAGGCACAAAAACCATGCTCATCTATATCCCAAGTACGTAAATCAGTTATTAATTTTTACTTCCTATAGCAGTTTTAGAAAGCTCCCCTGAGCCAGCAGCAGAGGAAAGAAATCTTTTACTCGTGTACATAGAGGGAGTTAAGATGGGAAAGTGTAGTCCTCGGGGCCTTGATGTGACCTTGCTGGCTGGAGAGAGTGCTGAGCTCTGTTCAGATGGGAAGAAGATGGCCTGGCCTGTCCTCCAGCATATACACAATGAGCATCCAAGAAACACCTCTTTTGAATTGTACTCTGAGAAAATTGCCTCAACAGGCATTGAAAGTGGGCATTCCTGCCACTGGTAAGAGGCGTAAATTACCACCATCCTCTTGGAGAACAAAGTGTTTATTTCTTTTCAAAAAAATTTATTAAAGGGCTGGGGATTTAGCTCAGTGGTGCCGCCACCTGCCTCATAAGAGCAAGGTCCTGATTTTGATCCCCAATACCAAAAAAAAACCATCATTGAAGGTCTTAGATGTACCCAGTCCTAGTTTGAGTTTTGGGGATATAACAATGAGCAGAGAGAAAAGGGCTGGATGAAGCTGACATTCTAGTAGGGAAGAGGGAGGATAAACAAGAAAACAAATAAAAATGGTAGTAAGAGCTGTTGAAGACAATACACCTCTGTGTGCTGGGGAGGCTGAGCAGCTTAGGCTGAAGGAAAATTAGAGGGGCCAGATAAGACCTTTGAGGATGACCTCCTAGGCAGCAAGAAGAGGGCATATGAGGCTCCCGAGGTAAGACCTGGATTCCAGGGTAGAGCAGAAGCTAGTGCATTGGAGCCTGGTATGTGAAGGATTAGACAGCATGAGGGGGTGAGGTCAGCTGGGCTGATCAGCTGGGGCCTGGATGCCAGGGCAAGGATTTTTGTGTTCGCTCTAGTGGTGACTGGGAGTCATCAGTCTTCAAATTCAGAAGAGACAGTGTGTTATACATTTCAAGAAGATGATTTTGTCTGCTATCAGGAGGATTTTTGTAGTGCGCTAACATGGAAGCAGCAGTTAGCAGCAAACCCAAACTTTTCCTTACTGTTTCTACTCCCAGGATTGTCTTAAGAAGCAACCCATGCTGTAATGGACACCACTGTCTCAGTCAGCTTAGCATACTGGCTCCTCGGTCTGGTTATGGCTGCTTGATTAACTATTTTTTTTCTTTCAGAGAATCACAGCATTCCTTCAACACTTCTTGTCATAGGTGGGCTGACCCTATAGTTAGGAAGACCCTTGGCCTGGTGAAGTCTTTCATTAACTCATTTGGTATTTATTTATCAAGGGCAGGATAGAGCTACAAATAGTATCAGCTCTTGTGCTTCCAGGAAAGCAGACAGACCATTCAAACACATCACATAAAACATGAACCTGTAACAGAACATCAGGTAGTAAGGAGTCTGTGAGGAAAAGTAGACCAGGAAAAGCAGAGAGCAAATGAAGTGTGGCCAGGACAAGCTTCTGAGTGGGGACTGAAGGGAGTGAGAGATCAGTAATCCTTGAAGATACATGGAGAAGAAAGGCAAAGAGAACAGGAGCAGTGGCCCTCAACGAAGGGCAGGCAGGAGGTGCACAGAGCTGGGTGGGTGGAAGAGGCAGGAGTGTCCACTGGGCCCGCAGGCCTTTCCCTCACCTTGTTCACAGGGACCAGCTCAGGCCTGAGTTTTTGACCTCAGTCATGCTAATGAGCCTCAACTGTGGGACTTCTGCTGGAATTACTGAGAAAGAGCAGCTGTCTTTCTGCAAGAGGATGTAAAGGAGATGGGTTAAGAATGAAATCACCAAAGAAGGAAGCTGGTATAGAAGAGAAAAACGATGGACTCCTGAAGACACCATTTAGCCCCTCTATCTGGAGGTGTCTAGTCAGTGTACTCCTAGTTTTTCACTACACAAGCTGATCCAGCTCCTTTGATGCTTAAGCCAGAGCAAATTGATTTCCTTTGACTTGCAACCTAAAGTCTTTTATCTAATACAGCAATATTGAAAATGTTTTATGTATAAAGATGTGAGGGGTAGAATTTTGATAGCAAGATAACAGAAGCAACCTGAATCCCATAAAGGTTTTAGGGCATACATCTTATCATAGAGCAGTATACACTCATTAAGATTAACATTACAAAACTTAGAGTAACATGAGAAAATGTCCATTTTAAACAAAAAGTAGAAATTCTGTGTACAGCAGGACTGCAGTTATGTAAATACAGTCTCAAAGGAAATGTAACAAAATGTAGATTCACACAAAGGCAATGCAAATGGTGGATCTTGTTACTCTTTAATATGTTACACTTTTTACAGGCTCTCAATTTTTGTAGGGTGCATTTTATTTTTGTAATTAGAAGACAAATTTTAAATAAAGGCAACACAGGAAGACATTGGAGACAAATGACTTCATACAGAAGTGCCTTCAGTCTCCTATGTCAGAAAGCACAATAGGTGTCGTGTGCCACCCCCTCCACAAGGACATGCACCTTCCACCACATTGGCTATCTATGATTTAATAAATATGTCTCCAGAGACAGCAAAATTAACTCATTTTAGAAGTGCTAAAATTCTGAGGCCACTGGTGCACAGGTGGCCAATTATGTCTGATGCCAGATGACCGACGAGCTAATGCAACCCCTGCTAGAAGGAATTTGTTTCTTATACACTGAATGTCAGGCCTCAGACTGAAACGTTAGCAAATTGATGACTATCAAAGTGGGGAATGTTGCTCTTTATAGTCTTAATTTTTTTTCTGCAAAATCTTTCAAAATAAGCAATTCACTGTTTTGCAGATCATGTTACAAAAAGAACTAGCTGTGGGCTAGAATGGAATCAGGAAAAATACCATCACCAAGCCCACATTATTACAATTTAGTCTTAAATCATTTTAAAAAACAATTTAAAACATTTTGGCATCCTTAGCCATAATATATTTTATTCTCTTACAAGTGCTAGTTGGCAATTTTCTGGATCATCAACTGAGAATTCAATAAAATTTATTCTTGGGTCAGAATAGTGACACTTTTGGAATTATCAATTACTTCATTTGAGATGAAGTTTTAGATTTTGAACAAAACTCACCATGTTATTTCAGTTCAGCCGTTTTGAGTTACATAAAGACAAAAACATGGCGAGGATTTTATAGCAGGAAAGGATTTGTCTTTGTTTTTTAACATTCTTATAATTCAGACAGCTGAAGAAATCTTTGATCTACAAGGCTTGGAAATTCAAAGACCCGTCAAGGCACTTTTTTTTCAAATTAAAGAGAATAAAAACAGTATTTGTAGTGGAAAATTGTGATGCTATTAAGTACATAACAGCTTTTATGTAAGTCTGTAGTTCATCTTGTGGATTTAAGAGTTTGGCCAAGAGTGAGTTTTAGGTGTGATATAGCCTACTCCAGGACTTGCTAGTTTTCCTGATATATTGGAGTGGTGGAAAAACAGCTGGCATTAATGCAGAATTATAGCCACTCATCACAGGAATTGTGTCAGAAGAATAAAAGGTCTATGTGACAAGAGACAAAACAAAATGCATTCAAAAATCCAGTAATGGAATTTTTGTCCCGCCTCTAGTTAAAGCAGAATGTTAGGGAGTCACAGATTTGGAGGACTCAACATATCCAAAACCCTTCTTTACCTACTTTGAAGTTTTACTAACTTTGCAGAGTGCAAAAGACTTTCTTCCTGCAGCACCCTGGACCTTTACGACTTTGGTCCCCTTCTGTCTTACTAGTAAATCTTATACCTTTTTACCTGGGTAGATATCTCTCTTTGCAAACTTGAACCTTTTTCTTTCAGCTGGTCTCAAAAGATGGATCTCCTGATAGTCATACCAGGAGCCACAGTGACCACCATGACTGGCCAGCCTGGAGTGGAGAAACTGAAACCTCAGTTTAACCCTATTGGCCTTAACATAGAGCTGTCTTATAAGACTTGGGGACTCCTGGACTGGCTCCGTGCCTGGTTCCAGCTGCCCTCTACCTGGGGTCCCTTGTACTCTGTGTGGCCCCTGTGGAGGCCAGCACTAGAAGCTGCCTCATCCCCAGGCCCAAATCTCACTGCCTGGGCAACTCCTTGTCCTCCTCGCAATGGGCGCTCCTCTAGGGCAAGGAGTAGACTTTGTTCCTACTCTTATCACCACATCATGTTTTACACCTAACTGATCCTCAGTATGTTCAGAATCAGTGGCCAGAAAGAATACATCAAGATTTATACTATGAGGTATTATAATCTCTCCTGACCCGAAAGATTGGCAAATGTATTTGTCTTTCAACTGTTTCTACTATTTTTCAAAGGTTTTTTTTTTTTTTTTAAACAAACCTTCCATTTATTTTTCAAGTTGAGGTTTGAAGGGCTTGATAGAAGTAGCTTGGCAAAAGAGAAGGGAATGGCCAAGGGTGAGAGCAGCCTGGCGCTGCAATAGGATGCACTTTGACAACGTTCATTTGTTTGCTCTCCGTGCTTTTTTCCTGACTACAGAGCATGTTCCTGAACCCAGGGAACTGGGCAAAAAGCTGGCAAGGTTCAACACAAATCTATCATGATAGTAAAAATCTAGGCCCGTTTCCTCATGCTGGTGGGTCAGTATTGTTCTAGTTTTGCTTGCAGGTGGCTGCAGACATCCTAGTAAATGGGGAATCAGTGTGTCTGAACTGGAGGAAGGGATAGCCCTAGGAGGATTTCACCAAGTACCTGGTGCTCTCTGAAGACACGTCCCCACCATCTACTCTCAGCCCCTGAATACATAGCACCGATGTTCACAGGGTTGTTCAGGCCAGAACTCATCCTGACTTCTTTCTGCCTTCCCTTTATCTCTCACACTCAAGTCCATCTGGAAGCTCACAGGTAGGCGCGTGAGAC